GGGCTTCTGGGATGCTTTTGCGTAGGTTGTTGTCACATTCTCCTTCCTGCACTGCTTCACACGTACTTGGCACTCCTGGTTCCAAAGACAGTTTATCCAGTTTGTTGCTGGAATGTTTAAAAGCATGGCTTCAAAGGAGTGCTTTGCATGGATCACTCTGATTAAAACTTATGAATGAATGGATTTTGCACATTCTAAGAACTTGCTGCTGTGCCTGACTATGGGTTATGTTAGTACTGAATGCAGTCCATTGTTGCTATACCCATATCATTGGTATTTCTTATTGTTAAATTAAGTCATGCAAGTAGTATTGTACTTCTACTAGTACGTACTCCAGAGAGTTGTAATCTAGCCAACTAGTGGTCTGGGTTGCTTGTACATGTGCTTGTTTTTAGGAAAGTGTGTGTCAGGGAATGATGAAGTGATCAGTGAAAAGAAGGAGCCTTACTTTCATTTCCTTCATTAACTTTCCTTCTGGTCTCAAAAAGCCAGAAAAATCCCCAAATCCCCATAGTAACCCATGCAACTGATGAAGTGGGCTATAGTCCACAAGGTTGATGCCAGAATAAGTATGTTAATCTTTAAGGTGCCATCATGGTTTTTCCTACTAATGAAGTTACGTGGAGTTGATATTCATGCAGAAGATGGAGGCTATGGATGGTGCTTGAGAAGCAAGAGATGTTTTGCACCCTCTCTCTCTCTCTCTCTCTCTCTCTCTCTCTCTCTCACACACACACACACACACACACACACACACAGAGAGAGAGAGCGAGAGAGCGAGAGAGAGAGAGAGAGAGAGAGAATTCAAATACTAGGAATAGAGTAGGAAGCTCCATACAGGTGGCGACCCCAGGATTTCTTGTGTGTGGCTGTATGGATTACCCACCTCCACCTTTGCATGTATAGTCTGTAAAGTTCAGGTGCTTTAGTCCTTCCATTCCATAGGATGGGTGGCCAGCTCTTGAGGATTCAAAGGCTGCTCTGCCTCTTCTGATTCCTAGCCTCCACCTTCTGAGACTCCTAGGCTCCACCTCTGATGACCTCTCCTCTCCGCCTGCCTGCCCCGCTGATGCCCCATCAGATTGGCTATCAGTCTTGACTGATGATGACAATATCTTTGTTTTCTCAGGATTGTTACTGCTTGTGGCTGCCTCAATGGGCCAACAGCAGCTGCAGAGAAATATGGCCTTTTTCCATCCTAAAACACACCAAGGCAACATAACACAGATCCTTGTGTCCTTGCGAGTTGTGACTTCTCACCTGAGCCAAGGGTATTTTTTTTACAGCTGCATGGCCAGTTTCTTCTTGTTGTTCTTAGCTGCACCATCAGCCAATTAAGGAATGTTAAGTTGATTAATCCTTTGCCTCCAAATTAGTCCATTATTCCCTTCAGTTTAATGCTGCCTTAAGATAGATGTCCTTTTGAAATACTGAAGGTAACAGCTGAATTAGATGCAGAATCTAGTTTTATTGTCAAGACTTGTGTCATAACAAATAAAAACTGAGTGTGGGGAGTTTATCACAAAGATAAAAAGGCCATGCAATAGACGAGAATTGTGTGCCATTTTAAAAAAATGTATATATTATCAGATCATCTTTGCTGTTTTATTGAAGTATTTTATTAAAGTAACTGCCTTAGCAGTTGTCTACTGCCTCCACTTTACAGATATGCCAATTATGTGGAAACTGGGCAAAATCTAATCCAATATAAAGACCAAGTTAGGTATTTCTCTGTAGTGCCCTTTATATAGGAAGAACAGTTGAACAGACTATTTTAAAATGCAACCTTTTGCTTAAATGTATAAAAGGATCTAAGTTTTCCTACCATTTATATTAATCACATGCTAAGAAAATGTAACTTTAGAAGGAAAGTCCATCATTAATTTCCTCTCCCTCATTGCCTGTTACAGCATTGAACTGTAACCTAAAATAATCTTAACAAGATCCTACCAACTAAATTTTGCCTTCATTAATTACATCACTGATAAAATGAATAGTACAATCCTATGCATAGCTGCTCAGGATGATATTGTCACACACTATCAAATTGCCTCCTATTTGTGGTGACCCCATGAAGGAAAGCCCTCCAGAATGTCCAGTCGCCAACAGCCTTGCTCAGCCTCAGCCTCTTCCAATTTCAAGCCTGTGGCTTCTTTCATGCGGTCAGTCTGTCTCCTGTTTGGTCTTCCTTTCCTCCTCCTGCTGGCAACTTCCCCTAGGATGATTGTCTTCTCCAGCGAGTATTGCCTCCTCATGATGTGCACAACGTCCAACAGCCTCAGTTCCACCATTCCTATTTTCAGGGTAAGTTCTGGCTTGATTTACTCTAGGACCCACTTGTTCATCTTTCTGTCAATCCAGGGTATTAGCAAGCCATTCCTTTGGCACCATGTTTCAAATGCACCCATTTTATTCCTGTCAGTTTTCTCCACTGTCCAGCTTTCACACCCAGACATAATGAGGAATAAAATAACATAGAATGCCTTTTTCCAGGTACATGTGCATAGGATCACAGTCTTAAGTTTGCGTTGGCATTTTTAGATCCAAGGCCTGATCCTTCGTATTTTGAGGAAACATTCCTCATGTTTTTGTGCTCTAAAATACAAACTACCAAGCAACCATTCAATCATTTATCTCTCATAGACAAGATAGTTTTTGAAAGAGATGAGTTCGATGAATTCAGCACTTCAGAAACAAAATAAGGAAACAGTATTTGTTATTTAACTATTTAAAATCATTGTAAACAAGGATGTTTAAGGCTGACAACAAGCAAACTTCTAGGTTTGCAAGCCTTCTAGCTGTTCAGACAGGGAAAAAATCCTACTTCTCATTGGGCATGCTGGGAATTTAGGACACTTTTTCTGCCTAAATATGCATGGACTCACACCCAAAAGCGGTAAACATCAAATTGTTTTGAGAGTGGAGTGTGGCAGCAGTATTAGCCTTCTTTCTGTTGGGTGCCCATAACCTTCTGGGCACAGCCCTATTTCTGCAGGACAGAAACAGTCCTATAGCCCAAAAGTTCTTGTACACACTGTATCCTGCATACGTGTTTCCTAGGCAATATAATATAAAAATGGGTGTCATTCTGCCTAAATGGATGCAACCTGTGCAATTCTTTGCATATTTAGGCAGAACAAAGTTCTACAAGAACTTTAGGACTGTAGGATTTCTTCTGTGCAACAGAAATAGAATTGTGCCAGAAGGTTATGGGCATCCAGTGGAAGGTGGGTACTGTCCTCCTCTCACCCTCCAAAACATTTAGAGGGTCATTTTGGGGGGCAGCTAACATTTTTCCTCAAAGGGGAGGCTGAAGCACCACTGGGATGGTGGATTCAGAGGATGGTGTTCCCCTCGCCTCTCCTCCCCTACCAAAAGGAACCATATCAGCTGAGATAGTGCAAGGAAGACCCACCAAGGTATGGGTACCAGCTCTTACCTCAGGGGGTTTTTCCAAGCTCAGGGCTGGGACTACCACCTTTCCCATGGCCTCTCACAAATTGCTAGGAGGCTATAGGATTGCACCTTTACACTCATTAGAATAAAGCAGTAGGATACTTAAGTAGGATCACAGTAGCATTTAGAAGAGCATGCCAGTTAAGAGTACAAATAAATTTGCACAGATAAATGAAAGATGGCTACAGGTTGGTTTAGGATATTTTGGTCTGAGACAACTTGAGCATAGAAAGTGACTAAAAATCTGCACACCTTCCATTTTTATTAACTGAGATGGTATAATTTGGGTTGTTGCAGTGCTTCAGTAAGTGGGCTAGGCATAACATGCAGGAAGTATAAGAAATTTGGGTCATCCAACAGCTGCTGGCTTTCATCAAAAAGTATTTCACCCGTTGAAAACAGAGTATAGCTGAATCAAAGGGTGATTTGTTTTAGAAATGATAGAAAAATCTATGTTTTAAAACTTTATTTCAAGGCCTTGGAAGCTTTCTTCCAAACTGCAAAGAAAATTTGAAAATGCACAAATACTTATAAAAATACTCTAAAATCAGTTGCACTAATTATTAAGCATGGGTGTCACTCTCCCATAATCCTGGGCAGATTAGATCTAGCATTTGCCAAGGAAACAAGTGTGAGGTGTTTTTATATTTTATTTTCACCCCTGAACTTGTAGTATTTACTGACAACCTTGCTTTAAAATAAAAACCAAAACTCTCACAGTTTGGGGGTTGTTGCTGGTTTGTTCATATTGGACTTTGTTTTTGCCATTTTGTTTTGTTTTGGTCAGTTACACAATTTAAGTGAATTGAGAAATCCTCATAATGGGCAAGAGTGGCATCTCATCTTGCCCAATCTTGTTGGCAGAATGTACACTATAGAATAATCTAGGTTAATTATAGCTTGAACAGTTAACCAGGTGTTGACTCATTAAAGCACTTAGTATAAATGATATGGGTGTTGGCCTTTGTGATGAAGGAAGATGAATTCACATAAAATGCAAGATTAAAATGCCTTGGGAAGCAGAAAATCATTGTGATGACATGATTCTGTGGGCTGTTATTAATTTTTAGTTTCTACGGTTACTAAAATCAAATCTCAGGGTGGTTATAGTTCTAAGAAGGCAGGCTGCTTCAGTCTAATTGGAAGTTTTAGCCCTTTTATACTCTGCTGGAATTCAGAGTAGAGTGTTAAAACCTAACTTTTCAAAAGAGAAAAGGAATATCCAGTTTTTGTCTTCATGGGTGGAGATACTGGAAAAATCTGCAAAGGATCCAAATGAATTTACATTTCCATGACTCCAGTCTGCAAGTTGTACAGATTCTGTAGACTTGTGGACCATTTTCTGGATAGGATTTGTACAGATGTGCATTAGTGCCAAGTAGTGCAAGTGGAAGAAAATTCTTGTACATGCTTAAAAAATGTGTTTCTGTGAATGAACAGAATGAAAGACAGCTTACAATATGCAAAACACAGTAAATTCAACAAAATCTGTACATTCCTAATCATGGGAATAAACAATCATAATGAAGCCAAGAAAGTTCACATCCTTTAGGGCAGAAGAGATGTTTTACTGCCAAATGAGTAGTTATTTATGCCTGTTTTATACAAAGAATTATAAAAGTCTACATTATTTATTTCAGCCTTTCAAAAACTCCCTTCAGCCTGACAGATTATATGTGGCATACAATAATAAAAGTACTACATAAATATAAAAACAACACAACAAACTTTAAACAACAATTAAGACTAAAAGGCAACAAAATCGTAAGACTGGCATGCGGGGGGGGGAGCAATTACATCACTGTAAAACATCAGTACAAATAAAAATGCATTGATCTCATGCTAAAAACATTCTAATTTTCAGCACCAGTCTGACTTAGGGATGGTATTCTAAAGTTAAGGTACCAGCACCACATGCATCAATCTGGCTTTGCAATTCCTGTTGGGAGCTGCCACCTGCTGGTTAAAAGTCTTTACTGCAATGCTTCCAATTCCCTGGTGTTTACTTGATTTGCCCCTATCCCTTGCTGAAGCCAGTTATATTACAATGTTCTCACATTTCTACATCATTGTGAATCATGCAATGGATGCCTGCTCATTCATTGCATCCTTTCATTAACTGTAAGTCCATCAGACATAGACTTTGGAACATTTAGACAAGAGGGTCCCAAACTTTTTGGGGCTACCACCCCATTCCTCTTGGGCATCAACTCTAGTGCCCCTATGCCTCTCTCTTTGTATTAGGACAGTTGCTCTTCTGCAAATTTAAAACAACTCCCCCCATATCTTTGGACCTGGACTCGATACCGCCCACTGTGGGAATCACTGGTCTAGGCCTTGAGAGCAGCTGGGAAAGTCCTGGACACACAGGTCTTTTTTTGGTGGTCTATACTGCTAACCTCTTCTTGATACACTGTTGGTTAATTTGAATCAACATTGTTGTTTGCCCATACTTTGTGTGGGGGAGGGGCTATTACCGAGTGATACAAATTAGGATCTCAGGATTTCCTGAATGGAATTTAATATAAAAGAATCCCTAGATAATGAACACAGTCCTGACCTGAAGATTACATCTTTGAATTGGTGCAACCTGGCTCTACTTAGCTAAGCCAATAAAAATTCTAGCCACCAAGTGACGTTTAAGGGTAGCCCCAAATATGATGTCTTATGGTAATCCAACTGGAAGATTACCAGAACATGAATCACTGTAGTCAAGCTATTCCTGACCAGGATCAGCAGAAATTTGTGGAGTGGCTGAAGTTGATGGATCAAGGAGCACTCCTGAACTGTGGAGCTAGACCTGTTCTTTGGAGATGAATAGAACTCCATCCTGAGCTAGTTAAACAGAGATTTCCCTAGTCCTAAGAACTTCCTACCCAAATAACCTCCATCTTGTCAGGGATCTGCTTCATTTTATGAACCCTTATTCATTACCTCATCCAGACAACGCCTCAGCACCTCTACAAATATTGTGGCTAGCTTTTACAATCCAGACATTCCTCAAAAATAAGCTTCAAGATTGCTCCAAAAGCTGCAGGCCAGCATATGGCAATGCAGAGATTCTCATTTTCTCTAATACACTTTAGAGTTGCAGGAGCAATCCATTCGATTTGTACTTTAATGCAAACTTACCAAATTTACACATTGGATTTAATACACACACCAAAACACCTTACTTCTTACAGGTTACACTTCTCTGATTTTTTAAGTGAGTTTTCAAATTTAAAAAGTGTATGACCATTTGTATTTTAGAAGAAAATGCACTCAAGAATGTGGATTAGTAAAAACAAAGTTCACAATTGCACTACATTAGGAAAACAGCTTGCAAAATCAGTGTACATTAGACAAAATTGCATGTGAACATATGTTTATCAAGATGTATACAAAAATATATACACATGTTCATGAGAACTTTTTTCTCAAAGTTTGGGGCAAACAGAACATAAGATAACCATTCAAGATAGTTCAAGATAGACCAAATTTTTAAATTTTAAATCTCTAATCATTTTAAAAGAAAGGGCTTCCTGAAGCTCCTTCCAAAATACATATGTCACAGATTTTAAGACAATGGTTCTCATAGCCTATATTTGAATTACTGGAAATGCTACTAAAAACTGCTAACTCATCTCTCTTGAAACAAAATAAGGTGTTTCTTGATGAAGTACCAACTGAAGAGCTGCTTAAAACACTTAATACACAATTAGGAATTTGGAAGTGTCAATTAGTAAAATATACTGATCACATTAAAGGGATGACGCTAGGACACAAATTGGTTTACAGTGAATGCTGGGAACTGACATCATACAAAAGAAATCTGGTCACTTGGGCAGAAAAGTCTGAATAAGGAAAAGCTATATAGCTAATGCTGAAAATAAACTTTTAATTTTTAATGAACCAACAATGCAGTATCTTTAAAAGCTAGGTATCTGGGAAAATGTTATCCACAATGGTAAAATTATGCTGGCATAATCCCAGGGCCTCCTGAAATTGTTGGATGCAGTACAGGATTATTCAGAGCTGGGATTTTGATGGCCAAGCCCTGCCCGTTCCACTAGTGGCACAGAAAGAATTGTGCTGAGGTTGGAAATTGGCCTTGGGAGGGGACTAAAAGGGGGGATGCAGGGAGCAGGGCATGCAGAAGGCCCAGGATGACAATTTGCACTGTATTCAAGTGGTTCCCCAGCCTCCTTCCCTATCCATTCATGGTGCTTCATCTGGATGGCTGCAAATAGCTGTCTAAATGAAGTGCAGGATGCAAGATGGCAGAAACTGCTTACAGCCGCACTGGATAACCCAGGCTGAAGCTTACATGCACTGTGTGTGGAGGGCATTGTATTGTACCCTAACAGTCCAATGGGACACTAGGTAACATCTAGATGGCCACAGAATTGCTTGGATCCCAACCTAAGGTTCTAAAATGCTCTGACCTTGTAACTAGAAATTGGACCTCTGGCACCTGAGCTATGGGAGCCAATGTAGCATAGTGGTTAAGAGCGCAGGACTGAGACCCACACAATCTGGGCTTCAGTCCTTGCTGAGCCATGGAGCCAACTGGGTGACTTTGGACCAGTCAGACTCTCAGCCCAGCCTACCTCACTGGGTTGTTGTGGAGATAAGATGGAGAATAGGAGGAGGAAAATATGAGCCATTTCGACTTTGTTGTAAGGGAAAAGTGGGATATAAATCTAATAAACAAACCCCTGGTCTCCCAGCATGGGAAGAACTGAACCAGTAGCATCTAGCAGCCCTTTAGTCATGTTTCTGGAGGCATCCCAGGGCACGGAAGGTAAGTCTGGCACCACCAAGATGCAATGCATCTTGGCAGTGCTGCAGCCTTCTCCCACTCCAAGGCACTGCATGGAGACAGCCATCCATCCAAATGTTTTCTGGGAGACAAAGGAGCATGGAGGTGACCTTTGCTTGCACACTCCTTTCACTCTATATACAATGTCCATAACCCTCCTATTTTGGAAGAGTATGGGCATTCTGATTGGACTGCACCCTTGGTTAAAAGGCACATTTTGAGTCAGGGACTGCCTTCTCAAAGAGCAGTTTGTGACCCACATCTAGCCTGAAATGTGTGTAAGCTTATTGTATATGATTCCGTTTTATGGGATTTTTAGGGAGTTATGATTCTGAATCCAAGTTTATGGGACAGTAGATAATAACAATGAAATATTTCAGAAATTGTGTAAATGGACATTAACAATTGAATGAGTTGTTTTTCCTTTTACCATACGCTTCCCAGCTTTGCATGCTTGTCAGATACAACAGCTTTATACCATACTGCAGTAAAATATTATCTTTAAAGAGATAGCACTTAAGATCTTGGAATCCCAAGCATTTATTAAGGAGCCATTAATGTAGCTTTAATATGCTTTGTGTATCACCTTGTTCACATGACACAAGAATCCATCATGGATAATCAGCCATGGTGGGCTTTTATGCCATCCAAACCTGGCATGATTTCTGTAAGGTGGCTTATTAATTTTACATAGAAGCCACACTGAGAACCCATGGCTTGTTTTAGGGTTGCTCTTTCTCGCAATAGCTTGTTGTGTCATCCAAACACAGCATGACAACTTCATTGTGGGCTGTCAAGAATGGATCTGCTTGGCAGGAACAGCAAAACCCTCTGCCAATTGTTTTGGTGATCTCACCAAATGATTGCCCTTCCACCAATGCAAACCTGGCACTTTGCAAGGACCAACACTTATCCTTAGCTTTTCCTTTTTAAATTGGAACCCCAATGCACAATTGGAGTCTTATTTTGCTTTGTTGGCCCCTGAACATTGCAGCTTTTTGAACTGTCAGCCCTTCACAAGTGCACACAAGATGGCTATCTGGTATGTCAAGCCTTCCCTGATCAATTTCTTGTCTGACTCTGCTGTCAGAGAGAGGACAAGGCACGCATGCAGATGGGCTAGTCCCAGTGCCTAGCAGCAAATGGGAAAAAAGTAGGTGCACAAAAGAAAAGGGACAGTATCACCCAATTAACAAGCCCATCTTTTTGTTTATTGAACTGACAATCAGTTCTCAGTGCCCTCCCCCTTTTTAATGTTTCCTTCAGTCTCCAGCTACTTAAAAAAGGAGATATTAACGCCTACCCCTAACACTTAACACTGCTCCTTTTTGGAGTACTTAACTGCTACAGTTGCCCAACTGTTCATTTGTTCTTTCTTTCTTTCAAAAAAACCCATAGAAATATACACAAGTTTAATGGCTGGGAAGTAAATGAAGGCAAAAATTGCACCAATTTAAGGGGGCTGGGAAGTAAACAAGAAGAACTGAGCATCTTCAATAACCACAAAAAGGATTCTGCCCATATTGTATATTACAGAAAAGGAGAACAGGTATTGCCATAGTTATCCAGCTAGAAGATAAAGCTTTCTACTAGGGCACATCTGTTTAACTGTCAATGCACTTTTAAATGCAGTTTCACCTTTAATAATATGGCCTTGAGAAGTGTTATACAAGCCAACTCCATTGTGCATGCTGTTTCCCTTTGAGCAGCAAAATCTTACATCATGTTAAATTCTGGTTTAGAAGCTCAGCTTGTAACAAGGATGGGGAAATCAGTTTGAGAAACAATTCTGAACTTATTTGGAGTTCTTGGGATGCAAGCCAAATGTGCACCAGCTATGTTTTGGCCTAATAACTTGTATGCTAGGAATTGCAAGATGATTATATATTACACTTCTAACAAATTAGACATGTTATTAGTATGTCGAATTTGGCTTAGAGTACTGAGATTTCTTATCATCAAAACATGATGTATGTATTCATGTGAAAGGAATCCATTTTGGGCAGAAGATCCGGCATATTGCCTGGTTCTGGCTTTCCTGACTCCAGTCCACTTTGCAGTGGCCCAGTGTCCACAGCCCTGGTAAGTGCACCCAGGATTCACAAGCAGTCCCATTCTCCCCTGCCCACTGTTGCCACCAGCAGCAGTGAACAGGGAAGAAGGCTGGCTGCCAGAAATGGAGGCTGAAGAAGTTTGCCAGCACACAACTGAGGGTCCACAAGAATTTATAGATTTTCTCCTGGCTTGTCTTGCTTTGCAGGACTAGCCTGAGCCAGAAAGGAAATCCTCCAAATCTGGAGAGGCAGATTCTGAAAGGGTTCATCCCAACCGTATTATTTACTAACTCAATTCTTTCTTCATTTATAGTGAAGAGGCCAAGTTTAGAATGAGTATGAAGCTTTGTGAAGAAAGGGAGCTTTGGATGAATATGAATACAAAGTATATTATTTTAAGTCATACAATGCACTCTGTCCTATCATGCTATTGTTCTTGCTAACAACTCCCCCACCCCTGCTTTGGCAAGGTCTAGCAGCTTATAAGATGATAGGATGGAAATGCCCAAACAATACTCAGGAACAAAATATGTTGAAACTATATCCCACGAGCCAACACACTTTGACATATTACATCAAAGATGGTCCTAATCTGTAAAACATGCAGTGGCTGGCGACAAGAAGTTTATTACCAGAGTTTAAATGTCTACTCAGCAAAAAGGTCACATGCCACATATTTAAAGAATGCCCAGATAGTTAATTCCCACTCTGCTCTAACTTTGTTTATGGATACTTTCTCCCAGACAAGATAATATGTAGAGGAAACTGTAAGATCTGCACTAAATGCAGTAAAACCAACACAAATGCATCAAGGGATGTTCCATGGACTTTTTGGTCTAGCACAGAAGCACTTTAGGGTGCAATCCTATGTACGTTTAGGCAGGAAGAAGCCTTCTCACTCTCAGGATTCTGCATGCACTGAACTGTATCCTTACATACTTCTCTCTCATTCACATGCACACACACACTCAGAGACAGATAAGACAGACAGAGACAGAAAGAGTGTTAGTTTAAAGCCAACATCAGGAGCTGGGTGCATGCCAAACACAGTTGTACAGAACAATGTTTTCATAAGCTTTTATTTTGATTCTGGTCTATAGAGGAGCCATTATGCAGTAAGGAGCATAAGCAGAGTGTCTTAAGACAGACCACAACAAATTGGCCTGCAGAGAGCTCACTTCTGCTGTCAACAACTTAATTTGGGTCTTAATCAAAAATTGTATGCTTCTTGCAAGACCATCAAGGAACTGATCTGCGTGTCCTTTCAAACCAAGGCTGGAAAATTCTGTATTGGAAAATAAAAGAATGTCAAAAAGTCAGTACATATTTGTATTAATTTGCTGTTTGATCTAGTTACCGTATTTTGATGAATATGTGATTTTAGCAATAACTTTGATGGGAAAATTTTCATAAGGGCATACATCTGCATATAAGAAGTTGCCTTGAGATGCAATATTATGTATCAGGTTCTGTCCGTGTAGGTAATTTTCATTAAAAAGTGTCAGTAGTCATTTAAAAGCTGAACTTGTCACACTTGCAACAGTCTGCTATAAGGTATAATAATTCTAAATGGATAGCAAGCTAGCAAAAATAATTGTTCTGTGACTTAGATAACCTTACCAAAGCAATAGTAAAGCTGCTGTGTTGGAATGTATGTTTTGTAATTAGCATTCTACCAAGTATTTTAAAAAATGGAAGTTTATTTATAGTCAATGGCTCAAATTGCAAATAAAAAGTATCTGATAAGGCATCAGCCTATGACAATTGTTTTTATGTGTCCATTGGCTTCATAACACCTTGGTTCCAATTACACAAACATCACAATGTTAGTGGTTAAACTCCCTGGTAAGACAGACTGAAAACAAATACACACTAAGATGAGGACCAGTCTGCATGGCCAGGCACATCAAGAACTAATTCTGCACATAGTAGCATCTACTGAAGAATGCACATACAAAATGTCTTGATAATCAAGTGTTCTACAGCCACATTACTAATGTCTACTTGTTAGCATGTTAAACACACACGTTGTCTATTTTGCTCAGACACATCTTGAACTGACAATTCATAAGTTTACACATGTATATAAAAAGTATTCTTTTTTGGAACTGATCTAACCTTTACACCCATACCCAAGAGGCTTAAAAGCCTCAAAGATAGTGGCTTCTTTTTAGCTCAATTCCACATACTAACATTGTGCTAGTATTCTTTCAAATGCAGAAGAGTTGAAGACAATACATTTGTAGTGTATTGATGAATTTCGGAAGCACACTGTCAAGTCTGTCTATACTGCAGAGCAGGGTGGGTGACTCAATTGATATTTAACCAGGAAACATAGTTGGAATGCTTTCCCATTAAGTAATGCACAGTTCATGTTCCCAAAGTCTTAATGTGAGGAACACAAGAAGAACCAATTATTTATCAGCATTTTTCCAAACATCTCTAAGGGCAAGATAACATATGCGCTACAGAAGTCCACACTGTGCTCCAGCCCTAGGAAAATACCCTCCCTAAACACATAAACATTAAGTACTTGACAGAGGTCAGTGTCAGACTCTGCATTAAATGACCACTTTAGACTGAAATGTGCTGTATCCTTTTCATTTTTAAATTTAACCTCAGATGAACTTGTAACATGTCAGCCTTTCACTTAAAGCAATCTTCACTGAAAAAAGGTAACTCTATGCTCTGGAGTATTCAAAACCCAGAGTATGGCACACTTTTCTGATCATACATACTGCTAGCACACAGCTAGTTTGCAAAATTGCTCACAATAAACTGCACTCCACACTACAGGATATAATTTCACAATGACACACACCTCAGTGCATCACCAGGAAAATATACCCTTAACTACATTAATGTTTTCAGCTTTTAAATTAAGGCATATTCAAATATTCTCATGAGTTTATACCATTTGTCTAAGCTAATTCCTTGTATAAATGACACCCAATAGAAGCAGAGAACAGAGCTAGTTTCTCCTCCTTAATTTGCATAATCTTGTAACAGCAAAAACAAAAACAAAAAAAGGCTTATAAACTACCTTCGCTTAGTTTTGACCACCGCTGTAGTTTTCAAGGCAGTTGAAGACAAAGTGAAGATTTGGTGATATAAAAAGTATATGCTTTAGGAGAAACATAGAAAGTAATGCTTTTAGCTTACAGTTCAAGAGAGACTGCCCGTGAAAAACCCTCTACATTCAGAAGAACTGTGGTGACAGGAGGCAAGTTATGAAATGGGTTGAATTCTGCTTCACTTGAAGCCACATTAAACTTTTTCAGTGAAATACTTCAGTGCTGTCCCAATTCATGCTTTAAGTGGTACATTACAATTTCCAAACTGTTAAGAGTAATTTCAGTCATAGGAGCCTCCAGATGGCATGCTATAAGTTATGGATTTTATTAGTATGGTCAAGGTTTGAAGAGAGTTTGGAATTGTGATTATAAAATGCAACATCTTTCTCTGATCCTCTTGGCTAGACTTTTTCTTTTCTTTTTACCATTCTTTTCTTTGCTGTCTTCCATCTTCCTTGCCCTGATTTCTCTCATTAAGTCAAAAAATACCTAAAGAAATAAAAGAAGTGTTAGTACATATGTAGTATGAAGCATTAATACACAAGTCCAACTCTGTTTCCCAGCTTTATTTAGTTATTCCACCACAAATGATCCTTCATTTCCCTTTCCAGACTGGAAGCTCATGTTCTTGCATTGCACAGAATCCATAAGAAAAGCAGAAATTGTCCTTTTTACCACCATCACACTGCAATAGCATCAGCAGCACCAGTTGATTTACCCTTTTCTGTGTAGCTACTGATGTCCATAAAGCACCAACCAATACCAATTTTCACACACCAAATTCCATGCTAGTAAGTGTTTTACCCACTTACTGCAATCATGAGATACTACCTATGTTCCTTAACCCAATGCTGCAAATACACCATGTTCTTTTTTGGGAATCAGATGCAACTCTTCAGAATTACTGTTAAAAGTACAAGCAGACATGCTAAACATAGCTTGGAGAAATTATAACACAGGTTATAATTCTAGCCAAATAAGGCAGGCTAGAAACTGGTGGATCAGTCCTGCAAGTGATTCAGTATCTTGTGTAAATGACAACAGTCCTGTCACCACTAACCAGAATTACCCAACCTGGTACCCTCTACATGCGCTGGACTACAACTTCCACCATGCTGGCTGGGGATGGAAGTTGTATTCCAACATAACTGGAGGGCACCAGATTGTGGAAGCCTGCATTAAGTTTCAAAACATGCAAGTTAAGCTCACAACTACAGAACCAGTTTATCAAGTTATGAGTCAGGAAAACATCAAGGAAACAGTTGGTCAGCATAATCTAGTCAGTACTGTTTTGTTCAGAGTAAACAAGCCAAGCTACATTTGGTGACCCAATTTAAAATATCTGAGGGGGTTTTTTTTGTTTTTTTTTGAAAGGACTGTGCTGCTATGCAGTCAGGTTTGTATGAGGGTCAGAAAAGAGAGGTTTACATATTAAAACCACTAAGCCCCTTAATGTTCTGCCAGATTTTCTCCAAGGCAAAAGCTAGTAGTTGCGTTCACTAAAGCAGTACTTCTATAAAAGATGTGAAATTTTACACACATGTGTATACATTTTGCCCTTTGTATCAAATAATCAAAACATGAACAATCTTGCAATCTCCACCACTGCCTTACGTCTCATTTGGAAGCCTTTAAAAAAAATAACCATGCTAGGATCCTTCAGCCAGGGTGCCTACTCTAATTTTTTAAGTGAATAAATCATTTTGAAAATTCCAGATTCCTCATGTAAAGTTCTGCCCCAGTTTTCCTAGAAATATTGTAGGATTGATGCCATGCACCCTTGGCATAGGCTCAGTTTGAGCAGGTGACAAAGCTTGATCACCTTCTCTTGTGTATCATCCTGACAGGAGACTTTCTGGTTTCTTAAGTCACAATTCCTGTGTCTAAACTGAAAATTTAGACACAGAAATTGTCTAAATTTAGACACAGGAATTTGTTCTGTACAGTACTTTGTTTCAGTACAGTCTACAATTGTTTGCAAACCACAGCCAAACTAAAGTTTGTGGGCAGCACTTAAAAGTTTCCCAGTTCAAGCATTATGGAAGCTGCAATTTAAAAAAACAATAGTCTCAGCTCAAAATGGTCACATGCATTGCTCACACTTACATCAACAAACTACGGATAAATTTGCTAGTGAACCTGTTGTAAACCACACAGCCAGCTTCAAGCCACTGGACAGTCGAGAGATGATAAACTTTCCTATGCAGTTACCTATTAAAAAGGTATCTAGGGAGGATCTGCAAAATTACAGGCCAGTTAGCATAATGTCTGTTCTGGGTAAACTGCTTGACAGGATCATTGAAGAGAGCATTGAAAACCCACAGAGGGACAAGCCCTGCTGAAAAAGATTCAACAAGGCCTCCAGAAGGGGAGGTCCTGTCTCAATTACCTAGTTGAATAGTGTGAGGGTATTGAAGAGCATGTGAACAGGGGCAACCTGGTAGACATTGTTTACCTGGACTTCTGAAAGGCTTTTTGACAAACTCCCTCACCAAAGTCTCCTGAGCAAACTTAGCTGTTGTGGAATAAAGGGAGTGGTCCTCTAATGGACTACTAGCTAGTTAAAAAGCTGGACAGAGTGGGACTAAACGGGAACTTCTCCAAATGGAGGGATGTCACCAGTGGGGTCCCACAGGGTTGTGCATTGAAACAAATGCTTTTCAACCTATTCATAAATCACCTGAAATTAGGAGTAAGCTGTAAAGTGGCCAAGCTTGCTGATGACACCAAACGATTTAGGGTAGTAAAAACAAAAAAGGAACTGTGACGAACTTCCAAGGGATCTCCTCAAGCTGGGAGAATGGACATCAAAATGGCATATGCAGTTCAATAAGTAAGTAAAGTAAGTGTCATGCTCTCCTGGACCATCCTCATCACCATCACTCCCATCGATGGATTACTGGTCTGACCCAGCATACATTTTCTCATGTTCTTAATTTTGAAAGAAAATGAATGATCCACAAAGAAGTCCGTGTAGAACTCATTCATAACAGGTCTTGGCAAATGATGTATGAAAAACAGGATCAGACATTTATAAAGATGCATTTAAAAAACAAACAACGTTTACCTTGTCAACATTAGCTCGTGTTTTAGCAGATGTTTCCACATAGTTAACATTCCACTGATCAGCTCTATTTTTTGCTTCTTCTACAGAAACTTGTCTTTTGTCCTCCAAATCTGATTTGTTACCAACTAGCAAAAAAGGAACATTTTCATCTTCTTTTACTCTTAAAATCTGTTCTCTGGAGAGGAAAAAAAACACATTTTAAACCCATAAAATTTAGTCTTCTTGTCATTAAGCATATATGATGGTATTTTAGGCATAGAATTACTGATATATACATGTTTTGCTATTACTTACCATCCATTAGCATGTGCGCTATATAGACAGAAAATCTAAGTTGCAGATTTCCGGGCCAAAGAAAATATAAAACTAAAAGAGGAAGCTGGAAAACCAGAAAGCAAGAAATGATGGACATTTAGTTGGTAGCAGGTATGGTGGTCTAGTAATGGCTTATGGGGGAGGGCTTTTAAAGAAGGAAATATCTTTGGACACAATCCCATAATTTCTACCTTTGTTGGGAGTTGTGGGGGGATGCCTACACACGCATCCTTAATGGCTAAAAATATGCTGACACAGGGAGTGACATGTGAGAAGCACTGAGAAAGTAATACTGGGATCATTTAAGATAACCAACAGATGAGCTTGCTCTGAATATTAGAAAAGGACTGCTTTGGAGGCAAGATGGTCATGAAAGGGAAACTAAATGCCTGACATTTATCCAGAAAGTGACAAAGCAAAAGAAGAAAGCAGATATAATACTGATGGAGAAAATTAAGTGGGAGAGTACAATGATCCAGTATGTTAATCTTAAAATAGCAAAATGGGACATTTTAAAATATAATGAAATTGTTTTTCAGTTTACCATGAAAATTAGCCATTACATTTAAATTAATCCAAGCTAGGATAAACTACCCATATTGTTAACTCATAAACCTTTCAATGGCCATGTCCACTAATCTACCAAGGGTTACAACTGCTTACTTAAACAGAACTCGCTATGATCCCTAAAAAGCTATTGTAGGAATTATCACATAGCTTCACTCATATAGAAACTGTCCCAAGCTATACAGACAACTAAGAACTCCTTGCCACTCAGTTTACTCTTTGCAAATCTCTAGTACACATTCTTAGCTGTGATTTCATATTGACAGAAGCTCTGGAAACTGATTGGGATACATATGAGATTCTTCCTGGCCCATACTTAAGCAGAATGATGAAGAAGGCCATACTAAATGTGTTCATCTTACACTGTTTAACAAGTCCCCCCCCCACCCCCTGCCCGACCCCACCACCAAGATCAAAGAAATATTTGCTCACTGTGTTTAGTTTGTTCCTATTAACTAAGGAAAACAGCAGCAACCACATTTGGCAGGTTTCACAAATGAGGAACAGTCACTGCTAGAACACCTTTTGCACTTCTAACCTTAACACTCACCCCACAATCTGCCGAGTGCATTCCATGTTTCCAAAGCAGTTCAGAAAGCTAATTAATCCAGGGATTGTTTTATTCAGTACTTGCCATATCTACCCTTTATCCTGGGCCACATGCTTTAGTCCATTTTGGTTCAGTGTCCCACATTACACCGGCAGCCTGGTAACATGCCCATAAGGGTCTATCAACTCACTACTGGAAATTCAGTGCTTCCAAGACTATTGAACATAATGATATCTGTAGCACAATTTTTAGTCAGTTTTATATTACCTCTAGACTCCTGCATTCTGTTTAAAGAAATGAAAACAGGGACCAGAAATCTTTCATTGAACTGAGGTAGGGATCCTCCTGAAAACTATCCAGTGGTATTGGTGATTCATTGGCAAGATGGGTCAAAAGCAGCCCAGCCCCTCCCTCTCCTTCTGTGGCATAGCAGCACTACAGCAGTCAGTGTTTATGGGTAGCCTCAGCATCCAACACCCTCAGTGCAAGCTCTGTGGCTACAGCACTTCAGAAAAAGTACAGGCATATTGACAGCTAACACTTGGTATTTGCCTGTAAATATTTTAAATGAATAAAATTATCTACAGTATAAGAATGGCATCACTGAGCAGGCAGAAACTTCTCAGTAACTACAATCAGCAAAAATGCAGGTTGCTATGGTTTGGACTACAACCATGTTCGCTTTGGGAATCTTATGTAAACCAGCAAGATGTCCACCAAGAAGTGTGAATCTGTATGAAATGAAGCCATACAGATGAAAGCTGGCTGAATGCACTGAGTGCTTATTTTTTTCTTACTGGTTTTGTCGCATTTTCCTCTTTCATCCTTTTCTCTTATCACTTCTGTTGAAATGCCTCTGTGTATTACTTCACATGCACCCTTACCGCAAGTCTGTGTATCCTTTCCTCTATTCCTAATTAAATTCTGTCCCATCCATGTGGCCATGTTATTGAACATCTTTGTGCAGATCTCCATCCAGAACTCTTTTTCTTGATTTCCTCCATAACTCTACCATATATCTGATGGGAAGTATTGATGAAGATTGCCATCTGCTCAATTTTATTGGAGCATTTCTGAACCATGGTTCTGGTATTCCATAGGTACATGGAAGCCCTTAATTCCAACAAAGTTCCATCATCACAAGGCACTGACTCTTAAATCATAACTAAAAATGGGAACAGCACTCAATCTTCAGAATCAATATCAGATTGTTTTACAACTATGGGGCTATAAATCAATATATTTCCAGCAGGAATTAAGCAATTTAACATTCAGGGTTTTAATTACTTCAGTGTTATTTCAACATCATAAACCTTACAATTTTTTAAGCAAGGTGTCAAGGCATTTTTCATGCCCCCTTGAATCCCAGTGATTAAAGACCAGAACAGTAAATCTCAAACTTAATCCTATTTTTAGGAAAAAGGTAAGTGGCCACAGAGTTATTCACCAAGAGAAGCATTAGGAAGTCAAGAAAGGAAGAAACTGGGACTATGTAATAACCATGATGGAAAATACATCAATGAATCAGAGTAACCATATATGCCCATAACAACAAATTGGAAACAAAGTAGAGAAAAGAGGTAAAGAAAGCAGGGAGCAATAATGAGTCTTCACAATTGTTTGGCTGGAAAACTACATGAAGACATTGGCCATATTTGCATATCACACTAAGCCACCTTGAGAATAAGTCATATAGTGTGAATTGTTCACAGAATGGAGCACCTGACAGACTGTTGTGCTCACTGTGGCGTGTTCTCCCCTTCAGTTCTCCAGCTATTATCCTAGTGTCCTTCACTGCACAACTCATCCTGTCTGTTCCTCTCTTCTGACTGCTATCCCTTTTCATTTACTACTTTTTAAAAAGCAACTTCAAAAAAGCACAATGAGTTTTATTTTTGGTGCGTTTTATTTTTTGGCCCAGAAAATTGAAAAAAATATATGAATAGATATGCACAAACAATTGAATAGAGGTGCACAAACAATCAGTCACTCTTTTGCAAGTGTGCACTTATGGCTGTCTGATAAGTGTCGGCATGGAGTGGAGACTGAGCTGTTTGAGTTGTCTGACTCACAATGGATTGTCATCCAAACCTAAGAAACAGATTCCATCATGAATTGCAGGAATCAGCTAGGACGCCACTAGGCAAGAGAAGCAAAACCTCTTTGGTGCTGTTCACAATATAATCTGTGCTGATGCTCGTGATACCACCTCCACGAGTGTTCAAGAAACACTTGGGCAAGATTGTCACTATTTACTCCCTTTTACTTTTTGCAACACCAGAAATGTCTGTAAATATACTTCAATTTTTAATAATCATTCTTTTACAGCTGCACACCCATGGCCTTCCAATATATGATGTCATGCCTGGTCAAGGACCTTATAAAGGGAGAGGCAAAGCACAGTATGTGACTAACAAGTCAAGACTATATATACTGCAAAACTGCCATTTGAAAATAACCAGTAAAGGTGAAAAAATTAGATGCCGTAAAATACATGGTGACAAGATGTCCTCATTCATAATGTAATCCTTTCAATTTCAAATGTTAAATCAACAGTTCACAGTGCCTTCCACATTTGTGACATTTACCTGGGTCTCCAGCTGCTCCAGAAAAGATTGATATTAACCCACACCCCACTTTACCACTCAGAGCTGTGGTTATATTCTGATTTAATGGACAGAAAATAAACAGAGGGAAAATATAATGCAAATTAGACAGACTCATGTACAGCTAACAGGAGATGTGTTATAGATGTTCAGTATATCTGCAAGTTTGCTTCTTCTCCCAATCCACTAGCTCAAGTGGAAGAACTACTGTGACAAAGATCGGAAAATGAAAGCGTTAACAGGTCACTATTTCACTTTCCGGTGCCCATGTCCCTTGTTCCCTATTAAGGGAATTACAAACAGGTCAACTGCACTTACACAGAGGAAGACCTGCATCAGCATCCCCACATGTTAAATAAGCACTGTACTATGACTGAAGGTTAAGACACTGCAGTGGACAGTGTCCAATGAGAATCAATAAAGCCCAGATTCAAATAATAATATGCAACTCTCTACGGAGCCTTGGGCCAATTGCTGTCTCTCAAGGTAATACTGTGAGGATAAAGGGAATGGTGGAAAAGTACCACACACTACTCTCAGCTCACTGAAGGAAGAGTAGGATAAAATGTAATCGATACACAATGAACCAATAAGGATTTTTGCATTCATGCTAACCAATTAGTATGGCTGAGTGCCTGCTCACACCATAGTTGGCCCATTCGTCACAGTGGAAATGCCTTTGGCTAATATAAGATAGCCTTTGGACAAGTTCCTCCTGCAGACATTATTAGCTCTCTGCCTCATGGCAGCCAACGACTTTGTGCCAGCCACAAAATAATGCAAAAGAACAAGTAAAGAACGCAACGAACTTGTTATGTAGGTTTCTCTAAGTTGTCAGAAATAAATTTTAAAAGACAAGAAAAGTGTTAAAGATCTAGAATCATTCAACATCAAAGAGATGTTCAAATCATCAAAATAACCCAAAATGTTTCTCTCACATATCTAATTACCTAAAGTCGGCTGTAGCTGCAAAAGATTCAAGCTCTGTAATGGAAAACACACAAAGAAAACCTTCTCCACTTCGGAAATAGTTGTCTCTAATTGCAGCATAATCCTCCTGTCCTGCTGTATCCAATATATCTATCTGGACTTCTTCCCCATCAAGGACCACCTTTTTTCGATAGCTATCTGCTTTGGTAGGTTCATAGTCTTCCACAAACTGTAAAAAAAAATGTATTTTAATCGTAAACTACTGTTTGTGATTGCAACCACCACATTTCTTTATCAAATACTACTATCCTGATAGTACTTCAAGTATTCAAAGTTGTCCAAATGCATTATGAAGCTGTATTTCTCCCAACAACCCTGAAGAAGCAGTCTTTCCCAACCTGGTGCCTTTCAGATGCCTTTGAGCACAACTTCTCTTTGCCACACCCCATCCATGAGTGATGGTTAGAGATAATGGAAGTTTCAGCTTACAACAACTGCAGGGCACTATGATTATAACAGGCAAGCTGTTATAAGGTAAGCCAGCATTATTATACCCTATACTGTTGAGAAAGACTACGTTACCCATGGCCACCCAATGAGTTCATTGGCAGAGGTAAGAACTTCCTGATCAAGAGCCCACTCTTAGTCACTATGCTACACCAACTCTCACAAGTAATTCTGGATAGGATCCAGGCTTAGTCATACCTCAGTCCTATTGTCTTCTCCAAGTATTACTATATCTGAAGTGAATTCACTGTTTAGCAGTAGTACTGAAGTAGAAGCAGATCCGATAGAACATTGTTAGCAACTTAAAAACTTTGCCTAATAGCAGATTCAAGTTGGTCACTGCTCTTTTCATTTTGAGTGTCAGAATGACAAAAACTAGAACTTCAACAAATACTTTTTAACTTTTCCATAAGTATTGGCTAATTAGGCAGTCCTGGACATTTCCCAGATCAAAAGTGGGAAACTAAATATTCAGGTGACAACATGAAGCTTCACTGTGACTGAAAAATTAATTTGGAAGCTTTCTTGAAAAGAAGGAGATCACACTTTATGAATTCATGCATCTAGCCAGGGTGAATAAAAATTGACAAAAAAGTATCAAGTGAACTAGATGAGTTGTTGTGGCCCTACCCTATGTTCAAATTTCCTCTGCATAGTAGGCTTTTCCATCTAGACTCGCCTTGCCCAAACAAACACTTTCCAGAGACTTGTCAGACTTTAACTCCCAGCACCCTCTGCACCCAGTCAGCATAGCAAACAACTACTGAGAGCTAATTCGGTTGAAGAGCACCAGGTTGGAGAAGGCTGCATTAATAATGCCTGGCTGTTTGATTGAGATATAACTTAAGTATTATCTTATGCTAATTTTATTATAATATCATTACATTCTTAAATGTGAACATACAAATATTTTGTTTGATTTGAAAGCCACTTTAAATAAAAACACACTGAAAAGCTTGGTCACTGAAAAACTATTGTTGGCCATCATCATTGGTCTCCTGCAGCCCTAAAAAATATTTAAGAGCAACCGGGCAGATCTTGCCCTTTATAGTATAGCAAATCTAAGACCTTCCACATTCAGAAATGAAAGACTTAATGGTAAAGCAAATCCTCAAATACTATAATGCAATATTGAAAATTCTCAGCTAGAATGCTTAGCTAGGCTGAACAAGTTACAAAATTATTCTTGGCTTACACCTGAACAGCTTCAGTCACTGGTCATAGCGAAACATTACAAAACTACTCTAAAAGTTAATGATTCAACTGCTTGTTCACATACAGCTTCAGAACACACACACTTTTAAAAATTAAGATTATGAACTAAAATTCTTACCTCATCATACATGAACTGCAGAGTTAATGCAGATTTTCCTACACCCCCGCTGCCAACCATGATGACTTTATGAAGAGCCAAAGAATTTTGACTTTTGGGCTTATTTGCTGTCATTTTAATATAGCAGAATTTTCACAGAAGGAGAAATCTGAAAGAAAAATATTTTGCATTATCAACAACCATTTAAATAGATTCTTAGCGAGGTTCAGTTCTGTTCAGTAACTGAAACAACAGATCAATTGACATGAAGAAACCATATGGTTAATATAAGCTCTGGTTCTTATATTAGCTACAAAACATATAACCACATTTAAGTCCGTGCACCATTCCTTCATTTGGCAGTGAACCCACTTTTCAAGACCCAAAAGTTTCTTCTTTTGTAGGTGCTGTCTTGCTGCCTTCACATTGAGTGAAACACCCATTGCTTCATTCAAGCAAAGTCCACTTCAGTGGTGCTGCACTATCAGTCTGGGACCTCAATTCATCTCCCCAGGTACTTTCAAACTGATGGCATAGCCACAGTACTAGATTTGTGGGCCTTTGTGTACCAATCATCTTGGGTGACTAAGCCTTCTTAGTTGAAGTAAGCAGTACAGCTCTTAAGGACTATTTGTTTTACTCTTCCTGTGGCTGAGGTAAGAACCAAGGACATTTTCCTGGGGCTGTGCTGCATCCTGGGCTAGGTGCATCTAACACCCATCTATCAGGAAGTGAAGCTCTTTGTTTTCTCCCTTCTCTAGCACAAGTAAATATACCTATTCTGACTCCCAGTCTTCTTGAAACTCCTGCAACCCCTTGCATAGCCCACCCCATACCAGAGAAATTGAGGTTTCCCGGTTTCACTTTGATCTCCCAAGACCAAACCACACACCAGCTTAACTTCATAGCTGTGCCCTGGAATGGAGCATGGAAAGCAAGGAGGCCTATCAGCCACCCCTGCTGTATTCTCAATCTAAATATTTTCTATTGCAAAAAAGGCACCATTGCTGACAGGCCCTGTGCCAGCAATGGGAAGGGGTTTTTGCTTTTGTTGGGGGAGGCAATGAAAAATAGTGTAGGTATTTTACTACTGATTGGGAGGGCAGCAGCGGCAAAGCTAACCTATACTAGGACTTTAGTCCAATCTGGAACCCCTGGACCAGTAATTTGTTGAGGGCATAATTAATGAAGTTTACAGTCATGTTTGGTTTGGCTGTTTTGTTTCTAAAGCAGAACTGAAGCTAGAAAGAATTTTGCTTTATTAAAACTTGCATGTACCATTCACCAGTAACTGTCATAGAACTAAAAGAACTAAAAGAGCAAAAATTAAGTGCCTTAAATTTATTCAAGGTAATAAAGAATGAGATACAGTAGTTCTACCAAACATAGTTACTCAAAGATTCCTATGGAAATGTATGTTGAATACTCATTTCAGTTGTTATGTGCCATCAAGGAATCTCCGACTCAAGGCAGCAGGATGAATTAAAGCCCTTGATAATGTCCTAAACATGACATCCTCAAACCCTTTTTTTTTCCTTTGCAGGGGGAGTGTTTCAGTAAGAAATTGACTCTATTGTTCCGTGTTCCAGTTGCCTGTGGCACCAGCTATAGCATTCATCTCTTCTAAACCAGGATCAGAAGCTGTTGTTTGATCTGAATTTCTGATTCTGGTTTGTAGACAAATGAAAAGAATTTGCCAATAAAGGCATCACATACACTAAACTTGTCAATCCATGGCTACTGCAGGCAAAGGTATGCACAAACAGAAAAGAAGGAGGGCATATTCTTATTTTTGATCCTCTAAACCATAGGTTTTCAACCACTGGTCTGGGGACCAGCGCTGGTCTGTGGGAGATTTCCTGCCAGTCCATGAGGGCCTGCATCCTGCTTGCTGCAGATTGGTGTGAGGGATGGCTGTGGTCCACCACCTCTTCCTTGACTGGCATCATGACTGCAGGAAGTGCACCGGGGGAGTGGAGAGGAGCTGGGAGCTGGCTGGGAGCCACACTGAGCCCAAATTTGTTCTTTTGTTGGCATTTTTTGTTGTTTGGTTTCTGGTTGGAGAACCTTCCTTCCTTCCTTCCTTCCTTCCTTCCTTCCTTTCTTTCTTTTGGTATTGTGTTTGGAAACTAATACAAAGAATACTGTATTATATGTACGGTATTTTTTGTTTCTGCCTCAGTGGTTACCAAGGTGGTTTTCCTGTTTTCGCCAGTCCCCAGCTGTGAAAACCACTGTTCTAAACCATCATCTTGAATATTCATTTGTTTCTATATTGTGTAAATTTTCATAACTAAATCAGAATGTCTGTGTCTAACATGCCTACTTGTATGTGGAAGAAGCACCCTGAACAGTTTGGAGGATCATCTAAAATGATCTTGTCTTAAAAACAGTAAGGAAGGCCTAAGTCTGTTCATAGACAAAGGGCTCCAGTCTTGTTAAGAACAAGTCAGGGCAAGAAGATGACAAAGGTAATGTCAACTTGCAGTCATTCTTGAAAGAACAATTTCCGCCCTTTAGCTAACTTACTGGCAGTAGGCACGAACAGCAATGGGCAGATCATAGGATTCTGGCCTCTCCCATCCACTATCCTGCCCCTTTTTCACCCTCACCAAATTCTCCTGTCACCTCAGAGGAACAGTGATCAGTGCAATTAGGAACTACAGAACTACTCTGTTAAACACCTTTGATACACAAAAATATTTTGAGCATCAAGTATAAGCCTCAATTCAACCCTATCTCCAACAATGCAGTTCCAGTTTCCTTTTGTTTATCAACAGTTATACAAACAAGAAGTGAGTTTATATACACAACAAAGTCAGTAGGAAAAACCCAATCACCTCTGCCTTTAAAAAAAATAATGGGAAATTGCAATGGGGAAGCTGTAATGTATGCTGTTGCTGTTTTTTCTTGTGGAGCAAATAGCAGCTTGGTTGGTTGGGGGACAGACTGGGTAAAAAGAGATCATGTGAGGGAAAGTGGGTAGGGGTGCATAGGCAGAGAATGAGATAATACTGAAATCAGTGAAGATTCCCAACGCAATCGTAATCTGCCCCTGCTGCACAAACGCTTCTTCCAAAAGTAAACTCTGAAGAGGTCAGATAACAGATCACCCATGTCTCATTTATTTTGGTCCCCAAACTATTAGCAAACTGAGACAGTAAAGTATATGCTTATCTTTGGCTCAATCACACCTTGTGGCTTAATTCAATTTAATAATGTATTATTGTTTCTATTGGCTGTAATAAATTCCAGGTTAATTCTATTTTCAGTTGATCTTAATAGTTCTTATAGGAATGAAAGGAACAACTAGCCATTTAATGAAACTCTCCAGCTACATAAAGAAAATTCTGAAAGCTAAACACTGATTCTAAGTATCCTAACGCTATATTCAACCGAGCATATTTCCAGGTAACCATATACAAGATTGCAACTTTAATATTTAAGACACAGACAACAGAATTCCCAAGAAAACGTAGCACTTGAAAGGACAGACTATGTGTAGCTGGCCACTGTAATGACAGAGGTACCTAACATGTAACATTAAAGTTAGATCGCTGCAAACCGCAAGACAATGATTCTGTGGCATTCAAATTTATACACTTGAATCGATACATATGCTTCCTGCTCAGTTGGAATGCTTGGCTCCTAAGAAGCATTTGAGTGTGCACACATGTAGTTAAATTACTGATTTCAGATTGACAGTAGCAGAGCATTTCTCTGAATAGTAAAAATTACTACAGAGACCTAAGTTCTGGAACTGTTTTAAAGCTCTTAAACCAAGAGAAATTCCTTACTCCCAGACGAGATAGAAAAAACAATACAGATTAGCAGGAGAAGAACAAAACAGAACATAGGAGAAAAGGGCAAAACTTGAAAAATCCTATTAAGTGCACATTTTGGGAGCAACTGTATCTCTGTTAGCCATCCTGAGGCTGCTGCAAAGAACTGAATCCTGGCCATACAGTTTAGCTTTTTAAGAATTAGTTTCAGGAAAGTAGGGGTCTAGCCTTAATAATACAGCATGCAGAATTAAATGGAGCTCAGCCATGGAGCTTACTGGGTGACTCTCAGCCCAACCTACCTCACAGGCTTGTTGTTGTGGGGATAAGACTGAGAGCAAAAGGAGGATAATGATTTTTAAAAATTCAAAGTAGCTTAGAAGAAAAAAGTGGGTTATAAATCTAATAAATAAATAAGGTGTAATGTTAGCACGCTACATTGAGGCCTAGGGAAAAAGTCAGGTATCTAAGTATATTGCTACCTTACATGGTTTATCTCTGTATCCTTTGTACTTCACCTTTTAATGCTGGCTGACTGACAGTGACCTGGGGAGTTAAAATAAAAATCTTTCCTACAAGGAGAACAGGGAGTTTACACTTTGAAATAATTCTGTGAAGCAACAAACTACTCACACAAACAGCGAGATATTTTTTTTTAAAAAGGAGACTGCTGTATGAATACAAAAGAATAAGCTTGGAATTTAGAAGATTAGTTAGCAGCCTACTTACCTAACACAGGTGAATTTCCTGGGATTAGCACACTGCCAAGCCCAAGTATACTGAACAAAAAACTACAAGTAAGCCTTCCTCAAAACATGCATTGATGCTGTTCTGCAAGGTTTAGCAGAGATACTCCATAAATTTTTCTGAATTCCAGACGTTACCAAGCCAGGTAAGAGAAAAGACTATTATCAGCAATACAGTAATTAGAGCCAATGCTGTAATCTTGGTCAGCAAGACTGCTCCATAGTCTTCAGATTTAGACTTGTGGCGAACTGTTAAGAGCTAGGCAAAGCTATACAAGACATCATTCATGAATCATGCAATATGACTTGAAAAGGAGATCAATTTAGAGGTGGAGAATGACATAATGAAAACTACCTGTTGTGGAGTTGGAGTACATTTTACTTGCTCCAGCTGGAGCTGATATAGGTATTACTTGGTTTATCAGTAACTTGCATAAAAAGGTGTACATGAACATCAGAAGAGGAGGAAATCAGAGGACCACCAGATAGAGGGCTTTTAATGCCAACAGTTAGAAGGCATTTTGCAGCTGTTCCATCTTCTCCTCTTTAATGAATGTTTGCTTTTGCCTTAAGCTAACACAAAAAGAATTGCACCCCTCTTATGTTTTCCTACAAATAGAAGATAACACAATCTAGATTTTGCCAATATCCATAGATGAGACAAGATGATACTGTCATAACAGCCTCATCTAGAAGCACCCCTATAAAAGCCACAATATAAGATAATTCTAGATAAAATGCAAAAAAAAATCTGCTACCCAGGGTAAAAACTGCAGAAGATAAGAATGCCAATGTTCAATGTTTCCATTATCCATGTCATTTATCAGTCAAGCTTACCTAATGTAAAGAGATTCCTGAAGTTAGTATTTTTAAATACTAGTTCTAGTACTTCCTACTATTTTCTAGAAGCCAGAAAAATCTCTATTTATGCTTAATAATTTCCAAAGGGGTAGCAGTGTTTGCAGCAAAAACAATGAGACTTGTAGCATATTTAAAAATAACTTTTATTCTATAAGCTTTTGCAGGCACCAGCCCATTTCAGCAGATGCATGAAGGGTTCCCTTGAGTTCCAAGTAGATAAATGACACATGTACACACTGAACTTAGAATGATCTGAAATGCCACCTTGTTAATTTATGTGAAAGGCTCAATTTCAGAGACATCCTGAGTCAGAGTTCAGTCTCTCAGCCACTGTGCAATACTATCCAAGATTATGTATCCACATAAGATTAGAGGAACAATTATTTGCCTGCCTGCCAGTAGCAAGATAAACTCTAAGCAAGCCACCAAAGCAGCAAATTCCATCACATGAGGAACAACAGGGAACTCACAAGCATCTATTTGGAAATGTAACTACAGTTGACACATCGCAACAGCCAATCATTTGCAGGGACATACACTGTGTACAAAACACTTCCAGTTTCTGTAAACAATCTGATTGCCCCAATCATATTTCTTAGTGTACTGACCAAACCCAGTACTCTGGGTTACTTATGAGTTAAATAACCCATGACTTGTTCTTCACTTAACTTTGTACTGTTTAACGCAAAAACATCCCAGGGTGTCTGGATTCCAATGACATGCTCACATTCTACTATCACAACAATTAGAAACTGTCTACAGAAAACAGAAGCAGCTCATACACAGCACATACATAAGCTGGCCCACAGAGTATGTTCTCTGGTAAGCCTGTTTTTCTGTCACACAATTGAAACATATGAGTAGTTTGATAAGCAGAAATAACTGTTACGGTTATAAGAATTCTTCCACTGTAAACTCCCCTGGGTTCTGAAGTGGATATCCTTCACCTGTGGAGGTGTGAACATGCCCACCAGGCATGTTTATCATGATAGTTTCAATGCCTAAGGTTTATGAGCCACTTTTCAGTTTTTCTTTTATTGGGATATGTACTTTTCAGGGCAAATTCACATTTTATTCAGCAACCCAGCTATATATTGCCTGAAATAAATACCAGTGTGACTTATGAAAGTTGTACATCCACTAGTGCTCAAAGATTCACCAAGGAATGGAAACTTATTGGCCATGTCTACCTATGCCTGCCCTTCACACAATATGTTCACTGCAATAAGCACTGTTATGTCCAGTCTTCAGCATTAGTGGCTATTAGACAGCCTTCCCCAATCTGATATTCTTCAGAAGTATTGAACTACAACTCCCATCATCCCAACCAGCATGTTCATCTTTATCAGGATAGCTTGTATTTGCTATTGCCATTATCAGAAAACAGAGAATAATTTTTGCAGCATAAGAATGCCAACAGACTGTGAAAACAGCAAATCATACACTGCAAGCAGATTTACAGATGAGATACCTGACCATAGTTGTCCCTAATACCTTGAAAGTCATTTAAGTTCTGGAAGAAAAAATAAAAAGTCACAACATATTTTGTACAAACAGACTATTCACTGGATAAATTAAAGTATTACATTCCACTTTTCTTGGTCCTGGCCTCTATACCATCACAAGAAATCCAAGTTTAGAATGCACACATGTAAGTGCTAAGAAGCTTAGAACAATTTGCTCATGTTGTTGCTAGCAGGTACAGACTGACAAGAATTCATAGATGTATTTTTAGCTCAGGGATAGGTTTCATGGGAATATTTTACTTTGTTCACACCCCAAACCCAGTATAGCTTAATGCAATGTAATGTAAAGGAGACTGAGAAAATTGTTAATGTTTACTGCACATTTATCACCACCTGCAAAGGAATGTAAAAATCTTTCTTCCAATTGCATTTCTTAAAATAACACATTGGCTAGTGTCAAAAACAGGGGAATATACAATCTACTGGATCTACTGGCAAGGCTCTAAACAGTTTATAGTAGAAAGGCACAGATACCTGATTCCCAACTGTATAATAGGAGCAACAAAATTACTCTCCTCTTCCCCAAATTATACTGCTGAAATGAGGAAATCTTGGGAGAGGGAAATAAGTAGAAGATTTGTGCATTGTAGGATTGTGAGTTCCATTCAGTTCACTCCTGGGCTTAGAATTCTTTAATTCTGTGTATTTTGCACTTGGCCATGGTTGGTAGATCTTAGGAACTCTAGTAAAAACAAAATAAATCTTGCAAGCCTGAGGCCTACCCACCCCAGTCAAAAACCCATGATAGCCATTTAACATTCACTGTAACAAATACAGTCTAGTACATTCTTTCCCTAGGCTTTTATACTAGAGAAAGTGAACTGCCAGAGGGACATATCTGATATAAATTACACATAGAATTAAAGGTTAGTCTTAAAATCATGCCAGACTTACTTTTGAAATTCATCCTAACTATATTAAATGCATAGAATATAAATCTATTTCATATAGTGAGTGTTGTAGGAATCTGCGTATTTTAATAGTGAAGTTGGAGAACTTGTAAGGAACCAAGCCTTACAGCCAGAATCTTGTTGATAGGGCCTTGGCTATTTCAAATGACAGTTTAATTATGAAGTCAAGAAGTGGCCTTGGGCCAAGGAATTCTCTCTCTCTCTGATCTCTTGCCTATGCAAGCAGCATTGAAAGGTGCAATCCTATGTAAGTTTACATAAAATAAAGACCTGCAGCTCTCATTGCATATGGGGCATGCCTGGAGTTATAAGGCGTTTTTCTGTCTAAACTTGTACAAGATTGCTTCTTAACTATGAGGGCAAGGAGATAACAATTAATAGTCTCAAACCATAGGCAGTGAATGGGCTGCATCTGTTTACCTGTCCTTCCTGAAGCAAAACAGCAGCATTTCGTGCTCTGTTCAATGCTGCCTCTTTTCATCTACTCTGCAACATCCCACACAGATGAACTATGTGACACAGAAAGAGGGTCATTTATGTTCCCCAAGGATAGGACTCAGGGAGACAAAAATAATGAAGGAAATTAGTCTTTCCTAATGCTTTCCCAGTGCCAACAACAGATATCCATTTCCCACCACTTTTTCTCTTCAGGATACATCAGCCAGGTCTACATGACCACAGAGGAAAAAATAAGCCACAACAAAGATGGGTAGCTTACAACCACTCTGAAATCCATGGCTTGTTCTAAGGGTTCAGGGTGCAAGAATTATTATGCTAATTAGGCTGCTCACAATGGCTCATGTAGGGAGGAAAAATAAGCCATGGTTACTTATTTTCCCTCCATGATAATGCAAAGCTGGTCTATTTCACAATAGGCAGATTCATGCAACCCCCACCCACATTAAAAGCTCATGATGCATGTATTCAAATATAAAAGGTCTCACACATGTACAGTCATAGTCACATAGTGCACTTTCATGCAAAGAGTCTCCTAATTGGCCTTGGACCCTTCTCCTATGGACTTCTATTCAGATACATCTCCTTCTCAGCATTGCTAAATCATGAGTGTGAGATAACCCACACAGCCTCCTCATATACACTGGGGATTTGTGAAGGAGTCTGAACTCCCTTATTGAGAATTTCTCAAGGTTAAATGGGGACAGGACCTGCACACTAGAATACTGAAAATATCGGATATACTGGAGGTAAATGTAAGTGGGGTATGTGATCTTAAAATACCAACTAACATACATTTCCATGTAATAACTAAAACGGGACTTGTTCTACAGTGGTAACAGAGAACTCACTATAGAGGATTCTGTAATAGACTGAACTTTATCCAACATATTTTTGCAGTATTCTCATCCAAAAGAGCTTCATTCTCATAGTCATCAAGACTAAGGCAGAATTAGAAGGCACACCATTCTACATGTAAAACCAGTACTGCAGAAATAGATAAGATCCCCAAATCACATAGTGGGCAACACCAGGAGAGGGGGTAGCAATTCTACAGCAAGAACCATCCAGGTGATCTGACTACAACTTCTGTCACGGAGTAGTTGTAGACCAAAACTGTCTGGGAAGCCTCAGGCTCTTCTCCCATGTTTTATAAGCTAGGCAGGAAAAGAAAGGTTCATATTTATAGAAGTAGCATCTTTTCTAACTCCATTGATATATACTCTTGAATATTTTGAAAGAAATATTCAACAATCTGCTGCTGGAGACCTTTTTCTAATTCCAGTAAGTCCAGATATTTTAATTACAGCACAGTTAGCTACTGACAATATTTACTATTTAGAATGGTTATACAAAGTTTTCCAAAGCCTATGAAAGTAAGGTACAAAAATTAGTATTTATTTTCCACTGATCAAATTAAACAAGTGGAAATTATTTAGAAAAGCACTTAGTCTTAATTTTAATCTAAAAGATATCTCATGGTTAAGCATTAGAAAAAATAGGTAAAAGAAGGATGGCATGATTAGTATCAGAAACCAAATAGCAGACTCACAATTAAATTACAAGTGCAATTAAATACCCTACCACCTCAGGCTGGTTCAACGTAATTTCTGCTCAACCAATCTTGTATTAAAAATATTTAGAAAGAATGGATAATCCTATTACAATATGAATGAGTAGTTCAGGTGTGTTCAAGCTAACTGACCTGCATTAAATTGAGTTATTTACCAATATAGTTCCTTGTGATAAATGCTGAAAACCTTTGAATATATAACAAGCTAAAGTCCAGTCTAGAAATAGACATTTAGCATCACAAATTCCACAATCCACAAACAGCTCAAAATATTTTTCCTGAAACAAGCAAACAAATTGACAGGTACTATATAAAAAATCCTAAGGTTTCATAAACCTTGAAAATACTTGAAATGTCAATCCCAGTGAACCTGTTTCCATGGTGGTTTTGCCTTAACTTGAAATAGTCTAGCAAACACTGCAAACTTATACATATCCAGTCTCAGGTAATTCCAACTGAATTCACTCCACCCCACTTGAAGCATCCAGCCAAGTGGGCACAGGATTGCAGTCCAAAAGAATAGCAAACTGGGTTCTTCAGGAAGTTCTATTTCCCTAGAAATAAAGGAAACCATTTAAACTACCACTATCTTGATTCCAACAATCATGCACCCAATAAGCAATAGAAGTATTGGTCTTCGTTTGAGTAACAACAACAAACTAGAAAAGGAACAAGGAATTAATTTTCCTGCAAATCCTCTGAAGATGTATGGTTTTGCAAAGTTAAAATCCTAGACCCTGTCTTTGCATTACACGAATTTAACTCTAGAATATTAAGCGGATCGCTTCAATAGCTTTCAAAAATTAAAGAACTCCACAGCAAACAAGCCTATAAACACATATTAAGCATCGACACTAAGTAGAGCCTCCATGTTCAGAGGCAGTGCGTATGCAGCAGACAACAAGGGCTTTTGCACCTTGGTTGCGAATTTCCCGGAAGCATCTGGCTGGTCACAACTAGAAATAGGACACTGACCCAGATGGACCCTCGGTCTGATCCAGCACGGCTTCTTCTTTGTTCTCAAGAGTACCACATACATGACAGTTCGGCCGCCCCTCACTAGTGAAGAGCAACCACCAAGTCCACCAATCTGGTCTCAAACACAGGCCCAACAGCTCTCCACACTTTACAAGTTCAGCACTGCGGACAGATGGAAGGCGCCGAAGAGAGACAGACCGCGTCCGGAGAACCCGAATCTCTATCTACATACTCCGAGCAGAGCAGCCCCTAATCCGCCCACAGCCAGCCGCCCGCACAGACCGCAGCGACGCCGGTCGCGCCCATGCAGGCGGCGAGAGAGCAGGAGGGAGTGCCCCGGCGGCCTATTCCAGCGGCGAAAGAGCAAGGACAAGGAGCGGGAAACGGAGAGGTGGGGAGGGGCAAGCAGAAGGGCTCCTTCGGCCTCCTAAGCAGCCTCCCCCCCCCCCCACGCGCGAACACACCAGGCCCCCTTTGCCCGCCACAGCTCCCTCAGACCCCCGAGGGCCGGCAGCCCGCCTCTCTTAGTCGGTCATATCCCGCGCCGTGCTGCCAAGCTCGGGAGGCACCGCTGAGAGGTCTGAAGGTGCGCCCGGCCAGGCTCACCTGTCGAGGAGGCGCCGGGCCCACTTCGGCGGGGGAAGGAAGAAAGGAAGCGCAGCGCCCGCACCGGGGGTGACTGGGAGGAAGGGCAGCTCGCCCGGCCTGCAGCTGTTTCTGTCTAGCTCCGGGCCGGCAGAGGTTATGCGGCGGCAGCGATCCCTCAGTAGCTCGCTGGCAGACGCGCTCTCGTCAGCGACCCGGCTCCTCCTCCCAGAACGAGAAAAGAAAAAGGACGCGGCTAGGTGGCGGTGGACGGGGTGGGGCTCGAAGTGCGCCTTCCGAGGGAGGAGCCGCTGCGGAGGGGCGGGGCCCTAAAAACAAAATGTGGAAGGGCGCGGCTCTTGGAGATAAGACGCCCGAGGTTGAGCTGGTCACTTACAGCCATAGAGGAAAAAAAGAGGTAGAGTGACGCGCAAACTGGTTTTAAATTGAAAGGGCGCCATTGGCTGTGGTCCTTTTATGGAGGAGGCGTGGTGGCGCTCTACATTTGTAAACTCTATGGTGAACGCCCTGTGCGCGCGCTCGCGCTCTATATTACCGAAGCTCGAGCTCTTTTAGTTTAACGTTCTGCTCATTTGGCGGTGGTTTGCGTCCTGATGGGAAGCTGGGAGATTTTCCTTTTTATTAAAAAAATGTTTCCTGGGCCAAAGGCTTTGTTTCCTTTTACAAAACAATGAAATCCAGTAGAACGAATTAAAATGATGTTTTCAGAAATCAAGAAGCTGTATTACTTTTTAATAGACAGCACCAATAAGGACATGAATTGGACCTTCCTTCCATTTGTTCCTTCTTTGTGCTGACTTCCCCCGTCATAAAGACATCAACCCTGAATAAATCCAGGATGGGTTTATAATCATGATATACACTTACTTCCAAGTTATACTGAACAAAATGTGATTTCTAAATCAAATTTATGCGAATGTGATGTTAGCTTTCAGTTTGCTTACCTAGAAATAAGTTAAAGTGATTTAAATAGGATTTTGAAATAAGGGCAGTCAACATGCATAGAATCGGAATATGTAGATTCATATGTAGCCTGATCCTAAAGATCCTTTCTTAAATACATCACTGAATTTAATGGGGCGTATTACCTAGCGTGTTTAGAACTGCAGTCTAGGAATCCTCTTTTTTCCATGTGCTTGTTTTGCTAGTTTGGGCTGGTGTCCTGAGACTAGATAAGCAGATATGTACATTTGGGACCACATTGTGAAAATAGTCTTTGGGGTTGCTTCCCTTCTTCATATTTGCAGCCCTGCATGGTCAGAGCACCTGCCTCGTGCTTTGGTGCAATCAACAGTGGTAGTGAGAAGGGAGAACAGTAGATATCCCTCTTGACTTGCTCAGGCGGGCTCCGTTAAACAAGCCTTAACAAGCAGGAATGGAGCTGAAAAGGCAGATTCACTGCGGGAGGGGGCCCATTGAAGGTTATATGCCCAAGGGATCTCAGTGCCTGGAGCTAGCACTCTTGGTACGTGGTAATGGCTAAACAAGATGCAAAGGGCAAAGATTTAGGATTGGATCCTCCTAATGCTTTAGGGTTCCTTCTGAGTAAGTATGGAGAATAACAGATTGGACAGAGGGCAAGAGTTGGAGAAAACTGTTGAAACCTTAGCGTTGCCTTGGAATACCATTCTCCCCAGCAGGTTAGAAGACATGCCCATCACCAAACCATACACTTTTTAGTTCACCTAGGCATGGGATGCAGGCCACAAGAATTTGTAGAGCTGGACAGAGCACCAGTACTGCAGCAGCCTTAGAGAAGAACATGAAAGAGATGCTGTGGGTGGATTTACTCCTTGTATTTATTTTCCATTTTTCCAAGGAAATTAGAGTGAAATTTTAGCCTTACTATAGTATATTGCAAGGCAGACTAAGCTGGAAGAGGATGATTTGCCCATCTCAAGTGTTTTGTAGCTTACTGGAAATCTGATTTCACCACTTACAAACCCAACTGGAACCCAGGGTGTGGCCAACCTTTTTTCAGTGGGGCAAGTCTGTTACAAATAAAGTCAAAAGTATGAAATAGCATATTATGGAGATAGCACTCCATAGTTTGATGTGATTTTGTCATCTGCTGTGTTGTGGGATGGGCTACATTGTGGAATTGGAGAAGCATGCAAGAGTGTGGCCCTGGCTATACTAATAGCCCACAGTCAAAACTCTACTACTTACAACCGTTCAACAGCTAACATGGCTCACTAAAAGTATTTGCTCTATCTTGTCTGCTGTTTTCAGCTATTCCACAAAAACCTCCTGAATCCAGATTAAGTAGCTCTTAAATTGGACCTGGCCAATAAAGCAAGTAAAAACAACCAACTTATGTCTCACTGATTTCAATGGATCTGCTGTAAGTATCACTAAATCAGGACCCAGCCGTTTTTCATCTGCTTCTTCCATTTTTTCCCATATGCGCAGTTCAATATGTAATAGTTCTTTAGAAGAATTATTAAGAAAAATGCAAAAGGCATACCTAAAAAAATAAAATGTTGAGTATGTCCAACTCTCCAGAAAAAAGAAAACATTCTCCTGCCAAATGGGGCAAGAAGTGTCCTGGGTGGGCTTAAGAGGGTGAGAAGTGAGGAGAGGCATTTTGCCTTTACTGCCTTGCAAACAGGGTTTTTGGGGGTGCTGGGTGCCTTATTGGGGGGATGCATTGTGTGTGTTGCCTGGTGGGTGGTTTCTGATGTGTCTGTATGGGGTTTACATATGTGTTTTTCTGAGCCTCACCAAATTATGAAATGGCTAATTTGGTGATTTGTTGTGCTTCTTGATGACAAACATGCTTTGGCATCTGGGGATCAGATCCCACTTTTGCCTCTGAGCCTCATTAGCTTGCCTTCTACAGAATAGGTGTTGAAGCACAAAACTGTGAGTCTACAAGTTTTTGGAGCTCAAAC